GTTTTAATTTAGCAACTTCTCAATTTCAACAGTATTGTAGTAATTTAGAAATAGCTCATTTAAAAGTCTGTTACTAACATCAAAATTGTGTCACTGTAGCTTTACAGAACAGGATAAAGATTATATAACACTGTCAGTAAAACAGCCTTATTGTTATGGATGAGAAAGCTTAGATAGGATATACTTAGATGACAGATCTCTAGCCAGGAAAAGCTGTCTTAATGCATGTGTTCCTGGTGTCTTCTGTCACTTTGTGCTGCTTTTTTTTTTTTTTTTTTTTTTTTTTTTTTTTGGAGGAAAATTGTTAGTAAAATGCAAGTAGACCTTCTTACAGAGGATGCAGTGGAATGTCTGAATGGTGAGATCCTGTGTGTATTCTTCTCGTATGCTGTGGTTTTCCTAAATGATTAGAGAGGTTTTGAAATTGTTCCAGCGGCAGGAGTGTGGGGCTTTATCCTCTTTGTATTTCGTGTGTTTATTACTAGGCTGAACTCTTTTGCTGCTTTCTGTTACAGAAGCGTTTGTGTTGACAAAGCTCCCAGTCTGTCCTGATGTTAATACAAAGGCTCTCTAGAAGTGATGATCCCATGCATTGTAATTGTATCTGGGCTGGCTGTAAACATGCGGCCTTTGTCCCCAGGCCTCAGTACATGCTAGGTGTGATGTCATCGCGGCGTGTCATGTCTCACTGAGCAATTGCATTAGCTTTCCAGGCTGTACAGCATGTACATGCATCAGCTTGTGAAAGCTGCCCAAATCTAAGCACTGTAGCTGTTGCCTCTTGTGATGAATTTTTGCTTTTACGCGCAGAGAGCAGGAAAATGTCAAGTTACAGCGGTTACGTAAAAGATCGCTGTCACTTAATACGGGTGATACCTGTGCAGCTAAGATAGATTATACAAAATCACTGTACGCCAGCTGTGTAGTAAAAGGCCCGAAATGACGTAGGTCGTTTTGTTGGGGTTTTTTTAGCCACTGAGAATTAATAGTAGAATAACTGCTATTCTAGGGTTCCCCTCATGAAATGCCTTCATATTTGGGAAGCTTGTGTTCCTTGCATGACATAACAACTCAAATCCATGACATAACAACTCAAATCCATCTCTTCTCTTTATAGGATGCAGATATGGAAGAAAGAGCTTGACTTAATTCTCTCAACAGAATTAGCTCGTGTGAAGTTCAGTTGTTTGACCTTACAAACCACAAGCTTAGTTTTTCATTGCACACTATGGTGTTACAAACTCATGAGCTTGTTTATATCTCAAAATCATAGTGTTTGAAGTTTGTGTGTGAATTCTCTATTTCAAAATATAGTGACTCATATCCGCGTGAAACTCATCTGTTCCAAAAATATGGGTTACTTACAGATCTATAGAAATGTAGTGCTATGTATGTTTTTAAGTTAAACAAACATATTTATTGGTAAGTCCAAAGAATTAAAAAATGTTTCAACAAATTGGAGGTTTGATTGAACTAGTATTTTAATGCTAAGTATCTGTTGTGAAAAAGTTGGAATATGCAATTAAATACCCATATTCCAGAAACCTAACATTTGAAATCTTTTCTGATACAGAAGAGTGAATGTGCTCAGACAGTGTTTAAGAAAAGCCTTTCTGATAAATGCGTTGTTCCCATTCATGTTTCAAAAGCTAAAGCAGACTAAAAATTAGAATATTTAGTAATTTTTAGGGTATAGTAATTCATATGTGCTATATAGTAATAATGCAGGCAGTATCAAATGCTAGTATGTTTTCTTACATATAGCAGGACTTGCTTTCATTGCAAAAACTGGAATGAGTTGGAATGAGAGCAAAGAACGAGGAAGGACTGTCATTGAGTGCAGAAGGCATCGGCACATTCAGGTAGCCACTGTCACGTATTTAAACGCACAGTGGGATTGCTTGATCAGCAGATCTGCACTATCGGTCATGTTCCTGTCTGACGAAGGATTTGCTGCCAGTTTTTTGGAAGAGATTTTTGAATAGCGCCCCCCCCCGCCCAACTGGCATAGATACTGATGGCAAGTAACGAACGTCCTACTGTGAGTTCGTTCACTAAATCCTTCTGGTGGAGAAAGGAGAAACAGAATTGCCAGAAGAGTATAGACAGTGAAGAGTTGAGCTTCATTCTGTAAGCAGCCTTCAGATTCCAGATACGGTTTAGAAGAGGGAACTGACAGACGTTTATCTTCTATAAATTACTGCAATTAATAGACTTGCTTAGACTTGGACTATCATAATTAACAAGCGCTTACCAAAAAAAAGCCAAAAATACCTGTTAGGAGGATGCGCATACGCAGTCCAAATGTTGACTGTGTCTGGAGAATATTTTTATTCTAATGAGTCTGAGGATTTTAAGAGGCAGATGGCTCAGTGAATCTTGGAAGGGATTTTGCTTGTTCTTGGTATTTTCTGATGGGAACGCTAGTGTAATCTAAAGTCAGTGTTTACCCTATTGCCTTTCTCTTAAGTTAATGAGCTGGCCGGAGAAGTTCAGGGCTCAAAAACAGCTGGTTCAAACAAGTCTTCAGGCAGTAGTGCCACAGTTAGCAAAGTCTCCCTTGTGATGTTCCCCACCGTGCGTAAAGATCCGGTGTGCAGTATGAAAGTCTTGAGGTAATGATGTTGCACCATTTACAGGTAGGTCGCATGTTATTAAAAATGAGTAAGGTGTTATTAGTCCAAAACCTGGAATATCTTTAATGAAGTGTAGCTCCTAAAAATAATTTGGGAACCCAGTGGCAACTGGGAACTCAACCTTGTTTCTCTGGCAGTGATAGTGGTTAGCCTTGCAAGGGTGTCTTAACTGAAACTGAGGAGAAAATATGCTTTTCCAAGGTCCTGTGTTTGGTAAAGGAAGTAGTAGATTAAACCTCGTGTAACTACCCATCTGTTTGCCTTCCTTAGCCTTAAAATTCTGGCAAGCTGAGCACTAGATTTTCTTTGCAGACGTTTGAGATGTTAGGCCTTAGTTAATCAAGAATAGACATTCTAAGGTCTCTGCTAAGTGTGTGGTATTCTTCACAGTGAAGCTGAAAGATGTCGACAGTCTGTCTTTTCATAAAGGTACCAGGAATATCGTATATTCTTCTAAGGTATTTTTGTAAACTTGGGGGGCAGGTTGAGCTTGTTCAAAAATAGGTTTATGCAAAGGCTTCAGTTTACAGGTGGGAATTTTAGACCTCTGGAGCTAGAACTTCCCTGGAGGATGCTGCCAGGTGGGAACTCTGCTGTGATAGTCTGTTTTTGCCAAAGCTGATGTCCTTCATCTAATCACGTGGTTTCTTTTATGAGGTTCAGCACTTCAGCTAGGTCAGTTAGGAAGTAAGCTTCATGTTATTAAAAGCCAATTCTAACATGCTGGTATCTCTCTCCAGTTTTAAAATGGATGTGTTCTGCATTCTAATAAACCCAGTATCTTTGAAATGACAGAAGCTAGATAAAGTTCAAGGTCTGGGTTTTTCTTTTGCACTTTGAGAGCTTGCTAAGGCTAAGTTTGCTTGGGCACCATGAAAGACCGGGCAGAACACTGACAGATAGGTAAGATGTCTTCTTTCTGTGAAAATTCTTACTGCTGTCTTGAAAACTGTAAAGCAAAACGTAAACAATGCAATCAAGAAAGAGAGTAAGTATGTAAGCACAGTGCACATTTTGGAGTCACCTGTTAAGAGCAGCAGTAGGAACCTTGACGCTTTAAGTGTTAAAGAATGAAGCATGATTTGTTGTCTCTGGAATGAGAAATGTGGAATTTTTCCTTTTAAGCTGCAGTGAGGGAAACGAATGAAAATTCCCTCATATTATTTTGTAAGACCTGGGGATATGAAGATAATATCTGGGTGGTAAAACTGAGGTTCAGCAATTTGTCCTCAGCTACTAGAATTTAATTGAATGGATGATAAATGGAGAATGTCTTAAATAACTAAAAGCAAAAAAAAAACCCAACCCAAACAATGTTATGAAGAGACACTTACTGTTGAATTGAGAACATTACCAATCCTGTGTTAGGAAAAAATTGGAATTGCCTTTGGAAACATCTAAACAAGGGGCAAAGGATTTCTGTTTACCTTTCTGTAGCAAGGGTCTTCCTAGCAGCTTTTGAAGGGCTGCATGCTGTGGCAACTTAGGGACAGAAAATCACGTCATGGATTGTATGAGTGGTTGTGGACTACATCTGTTCCCTATGTTGTATGTGCCCTAACCATGGCTTGTTCTGGAAAATTGAGTATACCTCTAATCCTGTGAACACATTTGGTCTCACTGTCACTTAGTATGCGGTTTGGCACCTGCCTAACAACTGTAGGACTCTATTGATGGAAGAAAGTTATTCTGTAAGTTTTCTTAATGTATTGTTCAAGAAATCTTTCAACAGTGGAAAGTCCTGTATGAGCCTTGATGGTACAAAGATAAAATTGCAGATTTTTGGCGTCATGATCTGCCTGTTGACTTCTCCTCGAAGGCAGGAGGCTTGAGCTATGCTGCTTTAGTCTGAGGGCCAGTGCTAGATCAGTTTGATTAATCCCATTTGAGGAGGAAATCTGAGGAATTCCATTGTTTGTTGCTTTCACAGCTTTTATTTGGAAGAATCAGTATTTTTATGAAAAATTGCCATGGATCTAGTTTTATTCTTTGACAACATGTACTGCTTGTGATTTCCATTTTTTTGGTAATCCCCTGGACTGCATTTCTAAATTGCTCCCTCCTGCTCCACTTGCCTCCAGGGTTTTAAACTTTTCAGCACTGTTTCTTATGTATGTCCATCATCTGATCAAGATGTGAATCGGATGAAATGCTAGAAGAACCAGTTGGCTGGATTTCTTCAACTTCTCTTGCATTGCCTAAAAAATATTGTGTTAAAAGTTCCCATGTTACCTGAGTAAGATAAAAGGTGATGTTAATACTGTGTTGTGAAATTTTTGGGGATGAACGAGTTTTAAAAGCTTTATGGGTGGGGTTTTTTTGTTTATTTATTTGTTGGGTCTTTTGTGTTGTTTTTTTTAACAGGAGTCTTACCCCTCTTCATCACCAATATGGTTTGTAGAATCAGATGACCCAAACCTGACTTCAGTCTTAGAGCGTTTAGAAGATATTAAGAAGAGCAATACTCTGGTGAGCAAGTGTTTATTTAGTTTTGCGTGTTTTAGTTTTGTCACATTAACAAACAATTAAATTACTTTGGTTTGGGGGTTATTTGGAGGGTTTTGTAAGCACAACTTTCTCTTCCAAAAACATATGAACCAAAAGATTTGGGGCAAGGAGTAGGTGATTTAAATGATTGCTCTTTAAAATAAGGTAAGTTTCAGCCCCTTAATTACACAGTTTAAGGTTTTCTGAAAATAATTGAACAGTGAAATGCATGAGAACTTTAAACTACTGAATAAAACAGTTCTGATGTTTTCTTTGCACAGAGATCAATTACAGAAGCAAAAGCTTTGTAAACGTGACTGTAGTGGTAACTAATACAAAAAATTCCTGATTTCAGTAAAGAAGACTTGACCTGACAGCTTCTAATTCATCAGAATGTTCCTTAGATAGTGATAAGTTGTCTTGTATTTCAGAAAACTATCAGAATAGTTCAGAAAACTATTTCAGAAAACTGTATCTTACTTAAATACCCTTTTGATGTGGTGATGGGAGTTGTGTGTATACATATACATAAAAAAAATTAACTTCTTGTTAAATGTCCTTGAATATTACTTGCAGAAACATGTCAGTAGAAACGTACTTTGTTCCACAAAGAGCAGTATTGCAACCTACTGACAAATTCAGTGATTAAAAGTGTTGGTTTTCCTCTCCAAATTCAGCTTTATGGATATTAAGTAACCCTTAAGGATGATCTTTATTGGCCGATTATTTTAACATTTTTGCTTATTTTGTGTGCAGGACTGCATGAATGCATGTGATGCATACAAAACAAATCAATCTGCAGAATGCTGCTCCTTGCATGGATTGTGTGCTGGCCTTAATATTTGCCTGGTTTTGGAAAACTTGGGAATGTTCTTTCTCTTGAAATCAGTTACCTGTGATGTTTACTGGGATGATGTTAATCAAGCATACTCGACCTTAAATAAGGATGTGTACCTTTCTTTTTCTAAAGAATATTTAGAATGCATTTGACTTCTGTCAGAAATAATTAGAAAACTAACAAGCAAATGAGAGTCTTCATGTGCCTTGCCATAATTAAAAACAAAGGGGCGTTTCAGAGGAACATTAGTGTTTTAATGTATTATGTTGGATTTCATTACAGGAAACATACATATCAGTTGTGTATTTTCTTCTTAAAACCTAAACCTTAGACTAAAATACATTTACAAGAATGTTATAGATCTCTTATTCTTTGTGACTTCTGCCTAGAAAGACATACCACAGTATAATAGTAGTAGATGTGGCCAAATCAACTTTTTTCTTAAATGCACTTTTCAGAAGTTTCTCAAGCGTGAAGCTGGTATGGCTAATAGCTTCAGACTAAAGGTTTTAAACGAGCCGTTTCCTGTGTTTAACTACCTACAGGTTTGCTTGCAGTAGGGTAGAAAGCTTTATTTCAAACGTGCATAGGACTGGCTGTGCTGAATTGCATAGGCACATAGACTGCTTATGTGCGTTGTAAGAAAACAGCTTCTGATATCAAGATCGTACTTGCCCATGTAAAAGCTTATGGGTTGATGTAATAGACACCTGTGGATGGCCCATTGGTTTCTCAGGAATCCGCCCCACATCGTGTTATGCCAAGATGAAGACAGATGGGAGTGGTTGAAGAGACAAATACTTACACTACAAAATCGGACTTCTTTTTTTTGCTCAAAAGGCTTGGCTTTGTGGGTTTTGGGTTTGTTTTTTTCTCCCTACAACTTTCCGCTTGCAGCTCGCTTGCTCCAGTGCCCTTGAAGGGGGGAACTCACACACAGTTTTCTTGGAGTAGGGTAGGAAGGGGTAAGGAACTACTACCTGCAGAAATCCAGAGGCTTCTGACGTATCGCGCTATCTCCTAAAAACTCACTTAGTTTAATCTAGACTTTTAGAATATTTCAAACTATTTTTCATTTAATGTATTGCATCTAAAGAATCATTTGTGCCACGTTGCTCTAAACTTATGAAGTTATCGGAACAGTCAGATTTTGAATGGGAAATTGCATTGGACTCTTCCAGGAGCTCAACAGAACACAGCAAACGTGCTAAAAGCATTGCTAGTACGTGTACGCTGGGTTAGCGTTCTTTGGTATTACTCTGCCCTTTCTTCTTGTTTTGTAACTTTTGACAGGTATCGGCTGTCTGGGAAAAGGGGAATTTGTTCTTTAGGCATAAAAGTTTGACAGGTCTGTTATATGGAAGCCTTATCATTTGTCATGGTAAAAGAAAAACTGTTTTACCTATGTTAAAATCATGCACGTGCTTCCCGGAAAATCTTCTGTGTGTTTGAAACTGTGTTACCTACCTTGGCATCAGCATAGTGCTTTTTGCTATGAAAATTCCTCAAGACACTAAAAATTTCGAAAGGTTGTTAAGAACGTGATCAGCATAGATAGCATTAGGTTTGGAGGCTTTAGCTGCTTGACTGTTCATATTGAACGAGTTCCAGTCTGCAGATGAAGGGGCTACAGAATTCTCTCTGACCCCTAGTGTCTCCTGAATTCCCTTTCAGATCCTGAAAATCAGCACTGCATTAGAGTTGGTAAGCGGCTGAAACTGACAGCTGCCTTCTAGTGGTTGTGCTGTGCAAACCATAAATCCTTCCTCATTTTCGTTGTTCTGCTTAATATAACGGAAGTTACAGTTGCAGGTCTGAAGTCTCAAACTCTACTTCATGGGTTATTAAATATAACTACAGGATTTGGAGGTTTTCTTTTTAAGGGGAATAGTGAAATGGACTTAAATTCAGATAGGCAGCTTCAATTCTTACACTCTCCAAACCTTCAGGGCTTAAATTTGCATGGAAGACTTCAAAAGTTTAGAGTTCCTGGCGTAAGTATGCGTACGACTTAAAGCTGCTGTCCCTAAACACACTGATTCTGTATTAATAATTTACATTCGGTCCCACATGGTGGCATTTCAAGAAAGAATGGTGGCTCTTGCAAACTACCAATGCAGCGGCAACTAATTATGTATCGGGAATCATAGAGACAAAATGCAGGTAGTTGCTTTACTTTCTGAAACTGCCCGGGGCTGCTGACTGTGTGTGAGGCCAGTTACTGTCACAGGCTACCTGATAGCTACGTAGTGGTCACGCTTCAAATTGCTGTTATTGCTTCCCTCTGTTTCCTCTTGTATCCTTCTTCAGCAGTTTTCTTCAGTGGTAGGCTAAGATTTATTGATTTGTTTATTTTTGTATAGATATAGATTGTGTGTATATAGATACATGTAGAAAAAAAAGTATGTGTATACTACACTACTTCAGTCTGTGTTTCTTGGTAATCGGAAAACAAGGCGCTTCATAGCGAACCCAGCAGTATATTAATATAATTAAAGGTACCCTAAAATTGTTAATGCTTTCATACTGCCTTAGAAAGATCTCTTTGTGCGTAAAAAGGCCTCCTAATGTAGGATAGGTTTCAGAAAAATTGTTCTAAACTGTTTTCAGATTTGTAAGATGTTAACCTAGGAAACAAAATTCTTAGAAGTGGTTTTGTGTGCTAAAACAACATTATGGTGTCCGTAAGAGCTACTAACTTCTCAGAACTCCTGAAGCATTAAAAGTTACATTATAGTTGTGTATATTATATTTGTATACTTTGTTATTTTTATATTAATTATAATCTGTATCATTAATTTATAATTTTGTCATTGTATTTGCTCACTTGAGCATTTACCTTACGCATGCAATTGACATTGCTCTTTTCATACCCTGGGGATTATGTGTTCTAGTTGCTGTTTAGTTTCTGCTTTATGCAGGTTGTATTCCAGGGAAACTAGTGGTATACTGATAGCCCACTTTTCTTCAGTAGCAGCAAAGAGTGTGTGTTAAGCATTCATTTTACGTTAGCCAAGCATGTGAAGTTAGCCTGGAAATACGTTTAAATTATTAATACATGGCAGAAATCTGCTGTACCTTTTGATGCAGTCTATTCACGTACCATTAACACATGCAAATCATGCTAGGGCCTGCTCAGAGCAGGGAGTTGGATCAGATGACTTCTAGACGTGCCTTTTAGCCCGAAATATCCTATAATTTTTCATACATATGAGTGGAGAATAAGGGATAATGGTGGCGGTGATCCATGGCAGAAGGATCAAGGGTATGAAATGAATTCCTGTGGAGGAAAAACATAGCAATAAGGAAGAAGGGTTGTAGAGACGGGATCAGCTTCTCACTCTGCCACCACCTTTGCAGACTGTAAAAACTGATGTCAAGTAAAACAACTTTGCTATAAAAATGAAACTGCAGTTTGACAGTTGCATTAAGCTCACCCTGAAGCATAGACTGCTGCCAAGGAAGGGGGTCCCTGCTCTCGGCTGGAAATTCCTGCCTCCCCCTTTATGGTGAAATTGTTGCTTCTGTGGATCTGCCTCAAAGCTTGTAAGCTGCTGCATGGTTGTGTGATTGCTGGTGCCAGTTGAAAAGAAGGTGAAAGCGTGCTGCCGGAGGCAGGGAGACGCCTCTTCAGACACAGCCACTGTGTAAGTTGGTCCAGGTTGTGCCAGCAGCTTGTTGCTTCGAGAGTGCTTGTGTGCCTCGCAGTGGTGCTGTGTTCAGAAGGAAGTGAGAGACTATTACAATGTGTTAGGTCCTGCCTGCAAAGATTCCTTCCGAATTTTTATTCAGGTGACAGGACTCCTTGTGAAGAGGACGGGGAGGGGAGGAAGCAGGGAAGGAAGCAGGTCTTAGCTCTCGTCCCAGCCCTTATTGTCTCTTTCCATAGAGGCACATCTAACATTTTGTTCATCTGCTTTTCCAAGCTTTGGACCAGCCAAATACTGGTGGTGGTGTTCTTCCCGCACCATTTGGATTTTTTTGTATGCTTCACAGCAGTTGTAAACAAATTAATGGCTTGCCTAGCTTTACACAGCTGTGTGAGGAGAAATTACAATTCCTGAAATGTTATAGTTTATGCTCCAGCTCTCCATGAGGCAGTGTTAGTGCAGAGAAAAATTTTCTCAACAAAATGGGTAGCAGTGCAACTTTAAGCATCTTACACGTATTGCAAATAATAGTTCTGAGACCTGTGGTTCTATCTGCTAACTAACTTTTTGATTGTTTAACCTGCTTTCTGCCTGCTAAAAGATTTCCTGATGTTTCAGACACCCATGAAGTTACAAACAGGTGTAGAGTCTTAACACTGATGAAAAATGTGATTTTTACAGGAAGCTTCTGACAACATAAAAGCATCGCATCCCATGTCTATGCTCACAAGAAATGAGTTGCTGATACAGCAGTTCTTGTAGTGTCATCTGCTTTATTTTTGAGTTAAGGATGACATGAATGATGCAGAAACATCACACCACGTTGGCTAGGAGAGAACATTGTAACTCTTGTAATGCGGGCTGGTATGGCAGTTCACAGCCTCTGATGAATAAATAACACTCCTATTAAACAGGAATGTTGAATTCTACTGGAGAAGGGAAAAACACTGAAGCTTTCAGCATAAGGGCAACATCTGATTTGGGCTTGGAAATGAGTTCTTAACCCTGGAGAGGCTGAATTTTCACTTGCGGTAGGGTAAGGTAAGAGCATTTAAACTGGCCAATAGCAAGGCTTTAGACATGTAGAATATTTGGGAAAGACTAGATTTTTCTTAGATACCTTAATTTATTGTGTATTTTAAGAAATACACTATACAAACACCAAATGGTGTTGTAGAGGTATCATTCTATCAGGAGAATACAGTCTGTGCTGTAGCTTGGCTGAGGCCACGTTGCCTGAATCTCCCTCCTTTGTGGAGAGATACTTAAAGGGGAGCGGAGGTTGTCGCTCTAAGCGTAACTACTAGTAGTGCTGAAGGGTATGTGAACAGAAACGGGTCTTGCACACTGCCTTCTGCAAGTGGCAAGACAAACTTCCTTTGGTGTCTGGAAGAAAAGTCCATCAAAGGATGTGTAATTTTTCCAAGCTTCATCTGTGGTATTATTCTGCAAATAATGAAGTGTTGACCATTTTGCAAACGTATTCTGCAGTACTTCCTGCAGAAATAGCAGAAAGGACTATGCAAAGGCATTCTGCTATGCAAAGACCTCGAAAAGTTAGGAAATGTAGTAGTACAGTCTTTTATGGTCTTGGCCCTAACTAGAGATCTGAGGCTGCCTAGGGAAAGTTAACAGCTATGGAAATCCACTTAATTAGCACAATGATCAAGAAGCAAACTTAATTTTTTTTTATGTTTCTGCAGAACTAAATTTATTTTCTGGATCACATTGCAGTGAGTGAAAGGTGTTCCGTATTTTGCAGTTGACAGAACGCAGTCAATGTAAGGTTGAAATTTGGAAACAGAATTGAGTGATAGTAACAGATCGTGCCACAACCTGATAGGAGATACGCAAGCAGACTACTTGGGCTCTAGCTCTGAGGTTGGCCAGTTTCTATGCCTTGTGAATGCATGTCTTGCTTCTGGTGCCTCCCTGGTGTGCCCTAGAAAGGGATTCAGGATGTGGAAATCGGACTGTTCCTCCTCGGTTTTTTGAAGACATGGTTCTTTAACCTAGCAAAACTGGAATGGACCGTCTTGTCTCATGGAATATAATCATTTGATTATTCCCTAGTGATTTGTAGCTGAGGCACCTATGCCTGGAATGGATGATGCTGCCAGAGCAGATTTTTCTTTTGCTTGTGACTTTATTTGCTTGACATAAGGAGACGAATGTGACCCATCTTTAACCAGCTATGTCCTTAGTTTCTCGCTGTGGGGATTTTATTGCAATGACTACAGCAAAAAAGAGGGATCTTTAAACTTTATTCCGGGGTGTGCACAGTTAAATGCTGTACACTGACTGAAAGTTCAGTACCAACAGTGAAGAAAATTCAAAATATATCATTTTATGCTTTGGTTTGAATAGACGTTTCCATGTTTTCTTTTTTATAGCTTCTTCAACAGCTGAAGCGATTAATATGTGACCTCTGCAGATTATATAATCTTCCTCAGCATCCAGATGTTGAAATGTTAGATCAGCCATTACCAGCTGGACAGGTAAATTAAAAAGCTGTGGACACCTCCTTATGGCAATGAAGGAGTTGTTTTTTCAACTCCAAGAAACAAGGTGGTGGGAACGATTATACCTTGTGTAAGACGGAACTGAGGTATGAAGCGCTGTTGCTTTATGGTGTCCTCAATCTGAATTTTGTTTGTGGAATCTATTTAATAATGGTGCGATAATATTACACAATCTCCTTTGGAGTTTCTTTATCATTGAAAGGTGTGCGTGTGATACCAGTGCTGTCAGTTTCATTCCCTTCTGAATTCTCTTAAAGCTAATTGCGGTGCAGTCCTAGTGCTTCCCAAATTTACTTTTTTCTGAAATGTAGATGTGATTGAACGCTGTTTGCTTTTTCTTGAAGAGTGTATGTTTTACAGTATGCGCTTGGATGAACTGCTATTGATGTTTTCCTTCCTCTTCAATCCCTTGCAGAGAGATGGGATATCAAGACCATATGCTGCATTGGGTAGGGAGTATGTGAGGTGCCTTGTATACTTTCTGTGCACTTGACAAATTAAGAATTGTGAAGGGCCGTGAAATGTTCAGGTTAACCAAAATGTTTTCTATTGTGCTGAAAACAGAACTAGTAACTGACAGTAACTGTTCTCTTTTTTTGTATTTTTAATAAGATTATGATATCTTCTTTTGCTTATACATGTTAAGATGACATGATTTCTAAAAACTCCTGTAGCGTAACAGATGGTTTTCCTGTGGTGACAGTACTATAGTAATGACAAATAACTTGCTTAATTTTGGTCATGTGCCAAATTGTAATCCTATAGGTCTTTTCTCTCAGCCACCCACATAGCAGTGCAATTGGAAGGCAGTAGGCCTGTAATATTAGGAAGTAACTTCGTTGACGAATCTTGCTTATGCCCTGAAACTCAAAAACAATTTCATGGAAGGTTTCTCAGCCAGAAATGCCAGATAATTTGCAAGTTAAATAAGAGTGGCCTTGTAAGTCAGACCAAAGATCCACCTAGTCCCCTGTATTGTCTACAGCAAGTGGCATTCCTTCTTTGCCAAAGGAAGAGTAAGCAGAGCACAAGCGTATCAGAACACCCCTGAGTATTTCTGCAGCTGAAACTTCCTGAGCTTGAAGTGGTATCCTGAAATGGAAAGCCATGAAACATGAACTCAATGTTTTGTTTTAGTGTTTTATCAAATAATCTAATAAAAATGGCTATATGATGGTAGTAGTTGTTGCATAAAAGTTCTAGCTAGAGAGACAAAAATCCACAAAGTTTTAGAGGTCTAAAGTTCGGGCTTTTTCTTTATAGAGGTCTAGCATGGGCTTTTTCTTTATAGAGGTCTAGCATGTATATTCCAGTCAGAGCCATGATCTGATTTCATGGTTAAGAGATGATGAGTTATAACTCACTTGACTTGTTTATTGCATTTGTCACTGGCTCAGAATAGGATATCCTTATCTGAATCTCAAGTTTTCACTTAAAACTTAGTGTAAAATTAATTGTGACATTCTGTTTATCTTTGCTTCGTGCAAAAGTCTCCGCTGTCCTACTCCAGGAAACGTTCTTTGTGTATCTTTCACGTTAAACTTCAGTCCTTTGCAGACCTTGATAAGCGTAACTCTTGTATATACTGCTTTCTCTTTGATAGTAGACTTCCTGTTTTTGAAAGAAAGGAACATATGCACAATTTATGCAGAAACCTCATTGTTGTATTGCAGAATGGAACAACAGAAGAAGTTACATCGGAGGAGGAGGAAGAAGAAGATATGGGTGAAGTATGTGTATATATGAGATTGTTATCCTAATCTAGTAGAATTCTGGCATTTTGCTCTGCGGTGGCTTGCTAATTATTAAGCCAGATGTAAAATGTATTCGCCCTAGAGTTCAACAGAAAAGATAGTTAAAAATTTGGATGTTTACCTTAATGTCAGCTTTTACTTCAACCACCAAAACTAGTGAAATTTTCTTCTTAAACCTAGATCTCAGCTGTGAGGTACTTGGATACAGAGAATTGGACATCTGTTTGTGCTTTAGTCAAACAATACGTAACATTGTGTGCCAAATCAGTAAGTTTGCGTTGTTAACTCCTATTTCAAGCAGCATATGAACTGGCTCTGATACAGTTGAAAGTGCCTACCAAATTGAAGCAGACTGGCCGTAAGAGTAAATCGGTTTTCTGATTTATTAAACAGGTGAGCTAGTTTTTAACTATAATACCTTGAAGGAAATAAAAGGACATCTGAAACAGACATGCTAAACTTTATTTCACTGTCTGGCAACATGGTGCTCCTTTTAATGAGTCTTTTACTGTGTAAGAACCACCCTTTCAATTACTTCTACAACATGTTAGAATAGCTCCAAGATGCTTGCTTTTTAAACCCCTATGAATAGCCTTATTATAGGAGAACTGTTCTGACTACTTCAGATTTAATTTTTAATGAAGAAGGTGTGTAGTAAGAATGAACAACGCATTCTTTGAATAGAAGGTCTTCCTTCAGAAAAGATCTAAATGTTACCCTTGTTCTGGAATTAATTTGGAGCAGCTTCTCTTACACCGTATTTAGCCTGATCCAGACCACACTTGTTGGAGGCAGAGTTTCTGTAAACATAGTACGTATGTTCCCATGTCCTGCTGCCACAAGGCTTTTGTTGCTTGCAGGCTTGTAAGTAGCCTTTTGCACACTGTTCAGGTTACTTTAGACAAAGATGTATATCTGTCATTATTTATAAGCTGTCAGTTGGCATTATGTGTGGCACTGATATCTTCAGCTTGTAATCTATTCCGATTTCTAAGTTGAACAGCAGCTTATGGTTCCTAGGGCTATGTTGTTCTTTTGAGGAACATGAGCATTTTAAAGAATACTTAGTCGAAAATCTGTTACAGTTGGAGGAAACAGTCAAAGGCATCAGGTAGGTGTGTTTCTTACTACATAAGACATCCTCGAATTTGCATTTGTGGCCAGGTTTTCCTGCCATGCAAAGAGACGGTGGATAAAGAGTAGCCACAGGTGTGGTGAAGTACTGCATATTGGAGCATATCTGATAGGTGTCTACTCATAGCTTGCTGGTGTGCCTGCTGTAGTGCTTCCTTTTTCACCTCAAGGTATTTACATCCTTTCCCTCTTTTCCACAAATAGAACTTGAATCACCTTACAGGCAGTTGTCTTTTAAGTTCAGAGTGCTCCTCTGCAACAAGATAACCCCGTCTCAGAATACAGACTGGAAGATTTTTCAGTGTCTTAGTCTAAAACTCGGAGCTGAAATGTTGGCTTGTGTGATCAGAATACTTGACCACATGATTCTGTCTCATATCCTCATTCCAAAATTGCTGCATCTGATCTTCAGCTGCAATGTTTACCTTGAGTAAAGTACATGTAGCTTTCTAATATTTACCTTTCTTGAAGGGTTGCTGTAGCCCTGCCAGATATGTTAATCATTGTTTGCCAGAAGTGTAATACAGCTAGGATTGTAATGGCAAAAAGTCTGCTTTTAGAAACATCTTGGACGCACCCTAACTTTGTGTACTTTTGGATTCTCAAGCCCTGTTCAAAATGCCCTAACTTCCTGTTTTCTACCTACTTTAATGGGCTAATTCGCTACAATCTTAACTTCTCACAGAGGTCTTATTGTGCTTGTTTCTGTGACCAGAAATATGTTGTGAATTTGGGTCTTGTGTGTATTGTGAAGGCTCCCTATACTTCCAGTGAATACTGTCAGCGGAGAGAGTGCAGTTAGAGCAAAATAGAAATGACATCCAACAATCACTAATACATAGTGCTGTGCAGTATTTGACTGTATCCCTAGATGGCCTTGGAGAGGGTTTCATTGAATGAAGAGCTTGGTTAAGTTACTTACAGTGAATTTTCCTCTATCCTGTAGGACATTGAAGATCTGGATCACTATGATATGAAGGAGGAGGAACCAGTTGATGGGAAGAAATCTGAGGATGAAGGCATTGAAAAAGAGAACCTTGCAATCTTAGAAAAAATCAGAAAAAATCAAAGGCAAGATCACTTAAATGTGAGTTAATGATTTATGCTTTTTCTTTGCAATACTTCTGGCTTTAAAATAGAAATTATTTTCAGCAAATAAAGCCTACTGCTATGCACCCAGGCATAAATTAACCTGTAGCCGACTTCCAGCATATATAGGACAAACATCTCAAGTTACGGGACCTAAATAGCTGGTTTTGGAGAAGTTTCAATAGGCCAACTAAAATTCCAAGGTCATCTAGTAAATAGACTCATCTTTCATCAGAATCTTTGGCACAGCAAGTTAGTTGTCAGTCCACATCCCGCAGAGGCACAAAAACTACTTCGAAGCACTCTCATTCAGCCTGGGAGAATGGTATCGTAATTTATTTTGTCAAACTGGCTTGGGGTATTTGTGGCATTTTGGATGAAGAAGCATCTTTTTAGCTTTTCACTAGAGTCAACTCTTACAGGCTAATCCAGGTTTCCCACTTCTTAATGATATTTAACTGCTTGTCTGATTTCCAGAGGTATCAATTTGGTTGTCCCTATGTCTCTTGCTTGATGCCTTTGTTACAAACAGTAGCCTTCCTTGCAGAATCAACATAAAGCATCTAGGTTGTACGCATGACTTTTGTTGTGGAGCCCTTATTAAAATAACAAAGCCATGTATAAAACTGACTGCATTAAAAGTCATGGGTGACTTAACATGCTTAGTAAACCCAGGAATTTGTGCTTTAAATCCGTTTTATGCGTGAGTTTGTTTTTCAGTAATATCTGCGCTGCTTGGAAATTACTGAGGGGTTGGGGTTTTTTGCCAGACATAAAGCAAGGGGCCTTCAGCAGCTCTGCAGCTTTACTATCACAGTTTTCCGAGTGATCCTGCCAGCAGGCAGTTGTGGAAAAAACTGGTTGTTCTCCAGAAGCTTAGAAATGTTTTGTCACAAGTGCCAGGTTCCAGAGAAGCTTCTACTTCTCAAAGGTGCATGTAGGAGGGAATGATGATGTCATACAACTTTTTATTTAGCCTGGCTTCTGAAGAAGTCAAAACTTGTTTCACGGAGGCTTAAAATATGTAATGAATGAAATTCAGTACTTCTGCTCATGACCAATTTCAGCCAAAGGTAAGGGTTCTAAAATTTTCATAAGTCACCTGTACAGAATGAAGGTGTTTAAATTGCCCTCTACTGTGTGAGCTTGTAAGTTTTTATATGCTGTTTGGCAAGCCAGCAGACAAGTAAATTGTGTCCAGACACAAGACGTGCTATTATTAAGCTAATAGTTGACAATGTGAGCAGTATTTAGGTATACAGGAGGCAGGACCTGGAAGTATTTAGGGAAAGAATAAGATTTAGCATTGGTATGTAGGGAACACCTGGATTTTTGCCCAAGGAACCAACTTTGTTCTAGTTCTTATACTTGATGATTTTTCCAGTAAATATTTTCTAAAAAGCCTAAACTGCACTTAAAAATTATACTAGATTCAAGAAAATTGCTGTTGTAAAGCTCTCTTGATTTGTAGCGAGGGCTATATACATTCAAAGTGCTCAGCGCTAGCCCGGCCAATCCACTTTTAATACTGATAGATCTAGTTATCATAAGAATTGAGGGAAAAGGCTCCTTTAGTTAGCAGAATCCTGACTATTTCTTGTCATGAATTACTGGCCCTAAATAACTTTATCTAGTTTAGGAAAAAAACCTTCTTCCTCTTAGTTACTGACACTTTAACACAGAAAAGTTTGTTTGTAGCTATCTGCTTTGCAATGGGAATAAAATAGTAAAGCTTGTATCAGAGTTCTTCAACTACAAGTCTTCTGCTCCTCTCCCAGTGCTGTTCTAATATAACTGGAGTGCAAACCTGCCAAAAATACTTAAGACTTCTGCTGAAATAGGCAGCATGAGATAGCTGGCTAGAGGAGACTGCTCTTGGATTTGTGTATGAATTCAATGGTTACCTGTCAGGTTGTCTGAAGGAAAGTGTATGGTAATAATAACCCCTTCCAAAAAAAACCAATGAAACAAACAAAAAATCCCCAACCAAACCACATACAAAAACAAACCCCAAAACCTGATGAGCAGTTCAGTATTTAAAAGCAGGTAAACATAAGGTGCCAAACTGTGTTTGCTATACAGTCAAGTCACTAACCATAAACACAACGGTCACTTACTGGTTTTGTTTAACCTTAAATGCTTGTTCAGAGTTTAAGATGCTTATTGAGATTCTGTGTATTTCTGTATTTATAACTCAGACCTTTAATAGTAAGGACTCCTTAATTGTTAAATAAAATAAATCCTCTTGCAGCCTGAAAGGCATGGTCTGCTTTACCATCATCTAAAAATGTGGTAGAATGGAAAAAAGGTTTTTGTAGTGTCAACATTCTTCCTCGGTGCGGAAAGCCTCTTAAAACCGCCCATTTTCTTTTGCTATCTGTTCTTTCCCATTTGGCAAGTATTGCCGTTCCTTTTGCTTTTTCCCTCCACATCTAGTGGAGCTGAAATGAACACTGCTGTGTTTTTGTTTGACAACAGCAGATTCAACTTACATAATAGCTGTTTCTCATGCCAAGACACTCTCGCTGGTGCTGGTGCATAAACAAGGTCAGCTGAGTACAGGGAACAGGGTATTCAACGGCTGCTGAGGAACCGCGGTATTTTTGTGGGTCACCAGAAATAGCTGCGCTGCTTAAATAATTTCTCAAAGGACTTGCGAGGGTTTACTCTTAAGTGCTTGAGAACTGAAAACTATAGCTGCATTACTGACCTAGGGAAGAGCTAACCTAGTAGCACCTAAGTGCGCCTTTATGCTGCCAGCACATGGGACTTTTAATAGAACATATTAAATGTGCTCTAAGATAGCAGAAGTTTGCTCAGTATCCGAACATAAAGCAAAATGCAAATCTCTACTGCCCTTCACAGTGTGTTTCCGTAAAGGACCGTATGAGTTTCACAAACTTAAAAGTAGTGGCTAAACATAGACTGGTTTTCACACAAGCCACACCGCTTGTCTGGTATACTTTGTTCTCTCAGCAGAAGAAAGTGAAACAAAGCCATGCCATTTACGTGCGTGTTGCTGGCAGAGGGAATGTGAAGCCTAATGTAGGGCTTTGACTAGTGCCCAATGGAACCAGAAGACTTTCCAGTTTCTTTACATGTTCTTTGGCCCAAATGCATGGGTCATCCTCTCTCCTCGTGGCTGTAACACAGGTTGAAGTTCCAGATCACGCTAAAGATTTTTCCATAGGAAAGGAGTGCGTGCAGTCCCATTCTCGCATATTCTTAACAGGTTAAAGACTTTTTTCTGCTGCTCAAGACTTTTGTCATAGGACTTTTTAGGGTTTGTGTGTTTTATGCAAGTTAAGAATGTGTATCTACTAATTTTCTAAACTCGTTCTCTTCCTTGGCAGTATCCCTAATCCTATTCTTGCTGGCATCAGGAAATAAACTTAAATTTGGCTTGCGGTACAGTATGTAACTTGGAGCAAGAATTAATCCTCCTCTTAACATTGTAATAACTTTAAAGAACCACTTGCTTACTGGGAATAAAAAAAGGTCTTTGAACTGGAATCATTAACTTCAAATATTTAACAACTTGCTGCTGCTTGCTTTTCAGAGGTCTCTCCCCACATAGTCATTTTGGAGATTAATGCTTTTCTTATTTAGATAATGCTATTAGCTTTTTCCATTTCCTACTGAGGAGTTTATGCACTTTCCATTAGAAGTCTCAAATGTCTCCACTTTCATCTTCAGATTTTTATGAAGTCTAAGGTGTCATTTCCATTTTCAGTCTAATCCTTGAAGTAAGTATGAATCTAATTTAACTTCCAGGAATGAATGTACGTCTGCACAAATACTGAGAAAGTTCAGTGACAATACAGCAAACTTGTATTCTTTAGCTCTTTTTGGATCACTTTAGATTTTATTTTAATGTCTTGGAGGAGTTTCCATTTTTTGTGTTTTGTTTTACCGGGTAATTTTTTAGTCTTGTGGCTGAATTATCTAAAATGTATTGTGAGTGAGGCAATTTACTGTGCTGTTTTGATGTGTGACAGTATTTTTCTGATCAGACAGAAAACAGGCAATCCAGTCTTTGGATTTAAAACCTCAGTGAACTGCACCGCCTACCTCAGATAACTCATTTAAGGAGCAAACTGTGGTTGTGTTTTGAGGGATGGAAGGGGCAAAGAAAATGTCTAAAGGAGAAAAGCTGAGGCTGCAGAACCTCGTATCTCTGGGGACTTAGTGCAGCAGACAGCTAGGGCAGTGGCTTGTGCTGCGCTGATTTCTGCACAGTTACGTGTGCCCCACTGATTTGCGAATGCAGAAGTTCTGAAGCCCTAGTTTTCTTAGGGGTTGCTTAACTGTTCTGTAAAGTATGTTACTCAAATCTATATGTAAAACCAGGACATATGTTCACACTAAAATACTAATAAGGACAGAAACAATTCTGAGAAATGTAATGCTGGACCAAATGTAATGCTCGGACCAAAGTTTTACACTTCTGACAGTGGCAGAAGTGCATCATTAAGGGGAAGAGTTTGAGAACAGGACAAGTTTGTAGTGATGCATTTCATGAATATTTTTCATGTCCAACAATTTTGGCTCTGGGAGCTCCTGCACCAGGTGTTCCTGTGATTTGCAACTCAGCAAGTGGCGTGTTGTCCACAGAAATGTTCACCTCCTGTAGCCGGGATTTCTCCAGCTTACCTGCTCACTGTTCTGGAGAACCACGGGTATGCTTGTACAGGAGAGGATGACAAAGTGAGACTTCCTGCGTCTATTTGATTACTTAATAGGAGAGAAGTCACTTGGGGCTTGCCTGGCAGCTCTTAACTTCTTCGGTTTACGGATCAAATGGCTGTGCCTTTCTGCTCTTGGCATCAACCCCACATGACAGATACCTGTCAGATCCTATGGTCGACCAGTTATTTCTAGGGCAGTTGTGACTCTAAATCTTGATCTCACAACTGGAGAAATGGGAGCTTTATCTCCCTTGGACAGATAAGTCCCACTTTTCCAGAGGAATACTCAGTTATTTATATATTAATTCAGTCTTTGAAATTGTAATTCTCATATAGTGAGTTATTGAAAGTTAGTTTTTAATTTTAGTACCGTTATAGTAAAAACTGAACTCGCTGCTCTACTATATCACGCAATGGTGTGATGCAAGTAGTACTCTCTTCTAAACTGCACTTTAGCAGTAGTTATAAAAAACAAAAGTGACACCAGAATGAAGACTGTGTTTCAAAGTGATGGTGTTTAGCACTAAGGTTACCATCAGGTAGTCTCTGCAGGCTTCCTCTTCAGCATCCTCCAAGGGTATTTCAGAGCATGTTCAGGTCAGTTCTTCAGTGCTAAACTTCTTAGGTTAAGCTTGCCAGCCCCTTTCTCTTGATCATAGATTACTGCTTTGCAGTCTATTGATTCTTGAGATTAGCAAGTCTTGCTATATTTAATACTGCTATATCAGGAGGGGCAGCCCAACCAGAAACTCCTAGGAAAAATGGGTGAAAAACAGTTATAGACTAAGTCTGTTGAGGCTAGCTTACATGCAGTAAAATGAACCTTTTTTTTTTTTTTTTTAAAAAATACTGCTTCAGTTTATCAGCAGTTATAATGGCACTCAGGAGGATATGGGTGTGTTAAGTTTTGCTTTTTAAATTACTACAGTACAAAAGATATATTTCCGTATGCAAAGTTGAGCTTCCAACATTATATACAGAAATTCAGTGGCTTAATTTGATGGAAATAAAGATGCAACGAGGAAACTAGTTTTCCACAGGATGTCTTTGAGAATCTAAGTAATTTTTTAAATTGCCTATATTTAGAGGTTGATATTCTGTGAAAAATTCCTTCTTTCAGTAAGCAATACAGCAGATGAGGCAAGGATATTGCACAGCTCTGCACAGAAGAAAGCCAAAATCTTGACTCTTCTCTATGAAGTTTCTTTCCTCCGAACTGAACACATGCATGAGTCAACATTAATGCTCACAGTACAGGTCTGAAAAAGCACAGCAATTTTACAGAGAATGGTGGTTAACACTGTGTTGTGTTAACTTGTTAAGTGTAACGCTTCCTTTTTCAGCTAATCTGCAAATAGTGGGTATAAATAGTAGTAATCTGCAAATAATGCATATAAATGACTGGGTATTTTTTCGGTAAGTCTTCATTTGCTTGCTGTTAAAGGAAGAGGAATCCCTTCTTTGTCTGATAATGCTCTATAGACCGGGCCTTCAGTAAACTGAGAAATTACTTGTCTGGAGCCCTGTCTTTGTGTGGTCTTTGTTTAATCAGATGAAAGGAGTTGCCTTTTATTTGCATATTTAGTTACAAAGTTAGTTCTTCATACTGGTCCGTTAAGAAAAACTAGTGGAATTTCAGTAATCTGCATGATTAAATCCAGTGGAATATGAAAATGAGTAGCCTAAAAGAGTAGTCTACAGATTATAGTGTTGAAGCTAAGCATGTTATATGATGCTACTGAACAGAGAAGACAAAGGAGTATGTGGAGGCTTTAGCATCAAGTTACTGTTACTGATATTTGACCATTATTAAGAAATAATTTGATCTTTGGAATATGCAATATCACTGTTGACTTCAGGCAAACAGGGATGACATTTCAGGTATCAAACAATGCTCATAGCTGCCTCAGATTCCTCCAGAAATACTTGTCTGACACTTTTGTCCAAAAAGGATCCGTTTGTAGAAGTTCATAGTGTCTGAAAGGAAACTGAAGAAACAAATCTCTTAAAATTTTAAGATGGTGTAGAAAAACAGACCCATAAACTAATCATTCAGTACATCATATAGGGAGGCTCTATTCTCGGTGGGGGCTTTTTTGTTTGTGGTTGGTTGGTTTTGGTTTTTTTTTTCTTTCCCCTCCTGAAGCCATCCTTATGAGCCACATGTATTTCATGAGCCTGTATGTCAGTGGGAGTGACTGAAGTTCAAGCAGCAGTAGAGAACTGCATGGGTCTCATGAAATAGTCTCCCTTTGGGAAACGGACTGCCGGTGAAAACCAAAGTTTCACAGAGTTGGGGTTCAGGGTGATAGCTGCCTTACCTCCTTTGCAGTCCGCATTCCTTTTCCATATTTTAAGTCTTGTAACGCTAATTTTTATCTCTCTGCTTTCCAAAAATCTTGAATGTAAAATGATGTTTCGGGTGGAATATGTAAGCAAGGTAATCATGTAACACCTTAAGGCTTAGAATCAAAGTCTTTCCTGCTAGCTTTAGCATTAAATTGGAGAGAGTAATCTAGGTACTTTTGCTGATCATGTTATTTTAAACAAGTGCTTTAATTTTGTAAGAGGAAAAAGTTCTGTCCTCACTGTAAAGCTCAGAAAATTGAGACAAAAGTTAATACCGAGGTGACAGAACTGTCAGCGTTAAGGATGTGTGCAGGATACATCCAGTGCAGCAGTTGTTGATGTAAGTAGGCATCAGTTACTTGATAACTGGTGTGTTCATTAATTTGTCAATAACTGGTGGGTTTTAGAGCTAGTCATATTTTTATATGCATGTCACTTAAAGGCCTCTCTTTTGTTCCCCCTTTTTTGCTTTAGCACTGTATCTCAGGCTGAAATATCAGGTTCAGAAATTGTATGCTGAGCTTTCTATCGCTTTGAGATGCTCAGTAATACAGAATTGAGCTCTAAAAGAACAGAACAGGTTTCTGCTCTGGTTGCATAAACCACAAGAACTGTCACAAATCACAACAACATATTTTGTATTTTAAGATTCACTTACCTTAGTTTTCCTCTGCATAGGTGTTGGCTAATCTTTTTTTCACTCTGCTGTAAATAACAGCGTTGCTTTTGTTCTGCATTTTCTAAATATATTGGTTGATCTTACTTTGTGCAGAAGCTGGTGTTCTATAGTGGATAGTTCCCAACTCCTGTACCTTTTTTCATAACCAAATAAAAATATACTTCTGAGAAAACAGTAAAACATTATGTGCGGGAGTTTATTCTTAGGACTAGTCTTACTCTTCCTTCCAGTGCATAAGAGCAGAAGGTAAAAGGAAATATTTCCCTATTAGAAATGTACTGTGGATCTGTCTTGGAAATCAAAATGCCAGAGAGATTTAACTCCTTTACAGAAAAATGTCTGTTGTTGTACCTTGATTAAAAGTGTGTATCACCTATACCACGTAGTAGTGTATAGCAATGTACTGCTTTAGAGGGAGTGTCTTGTTTCTTTTGAGTAGTCTTTGCTCACTAGAATATGTAATTTTTCGAAAATGTAATGCTAATACAGAAATTAATATACTCTTAATACCTTCTAGTTAGTATAACTTTGTAATGGAAATAAAGCTGTTTGATGTAAATGCTACTTTTCACTTATTTGGAGTCTTTTTGTTTGTTTCAGGGTGCAGTCTCTGGGTCAGTTCAGGCTTCAGATCGACTTATGAAAGAACTCAGGGATATATATAGATCACAGAGTTATAAAACAGGTAAAATGTTTCGGATTTCTCTTCTTAGAATACACTGTAAAAGAATTCTCTTGGCAAATGCTTCCTGCTAATCCTTCTGTGTTTTGTTGTCATATGTATGTATATATGTGTTGTGTATGTGTATATTTATGTGCACTTGTATGTACCTATGTATTTTTATATATATTATATATAATCTCATCATATAAAATAGTGTATTCGTGGAGACAAAGGAAGTCAGGATACATATCCTCTAAAACGTTCCTCCTTTTTGTTATGCAAAGCTTCATACGAGAATTAACAGGATTGGTGTAACTATGAGAATGCTCTTGGGGTGGATGACTATAAAGAACAGCTCGAGATTATTCCTGTGGGACTTCTTGAGTTTTCAGTACTACCTGAAATTCAGCTCTCCAGGTATATAGGGCAGAAGCTTTGGCCACTACCAGTGGGTAGTACTGCTCACAAGAATATGCTTGCCGCAGAGGCATTTGTGTTCAACAGCAGAAGGTTTTGTTGTTATACAAGATTCAACCTTAATTACACTGCTGCTACTTTTATTAGTTTGTGAAGGTGTTAATCTGATCCTGAGCTCTATGTATTCCTTGGAATAAGGATACCAATGGCAACAGAAAACAAGCTTGTCTTTTAAATTTGGTGAAATAACAAACACTGATTAGCTTTAGGTGGGTAGGTGGTTAGCTATTCTATTTGCTCTATATAAGGGCTGTATCTAAACTAGCTCAGCAAAGGAATCAGTGCATTGAATTGTCTGAGCGTTACCATACACGAAGCAGAAATTACATAGATTATGGGCAGGTTGTATTCCTGTAGGTCAGGTGAGTAGACCAGTCCATCGCTGTGGCCAGGTATGAGAACCTGGTGCAGGCCAGGATGGGAAGAGGAGGAATGCCCAATTAGAATGTCACTCTAAACTTTAATCCTCTATCTTTTACTTTCCTGAACTTGCCTCCTAGTTTATTTCTAGTGGGCTTAAATCTCACTTGTTGGCTAAGGCATTTTAATTCACATGTAAAAGGGCAGAGTTGAAGAGACAGAAGAGGCTTCTGTTTTGATTTGCCTTATTTACCTTTTAGGTAAACAGCTTTTACATGCTGTGGACAGTGGTAAAATGTCTGAAGTATGAATTTGATTAGATAACCTAGTGTTGATCTAATGTAGCCTGCTTCTTTTAGGCTTTATTGCAAGTGAGTGGTTGCCAGTATGCCCTAATCACCATCTATCCGGTAAAGAATGGATTAGTGGGTCTAAGGAACAGTCTAGAAATAGATCTGTATTAAGTCATGAGGGATGCTTTACTGCCAATGTATGATCTTCCGGGTTTGTTTTTTGTGGTTAGAACAAAGATTGGGTATAACAAATCTACTTGTCTATAAAGACTGTATGGTGCTTAATCATATTAACAGTACTGCTGGAGGCACAACCAGGTATCCCTGTAATAGGTGTGGTTTGAGGTGAGGATTTGGGTTGCTAAATAATGCCATTTTTTGGCTTTAGATTAATAACAAGTCTTAACTAGTTGCAAAAGACTGAACTCCTGATGTAGGAAAGCATACTGTAAATGATGAGGAAAAGTAAATCCTGCTAAACTGTAAAGGAAGTTGAGATACTACAGGGTGAGTATAGTAACTTATTATTAGTTTATGACTCAGGAATATGTAAAAGGACTGCAACTGGATGCCTTGTGTCGATCTTTAAAACATGTTAATGAAGGAAAATGTCACATGGAGGTTGACACTACAAAACTGATGGCAATCCCACTTTGAAACACAGTCCTACTGGTACGTTTATTAAATTTTGACATCAAATGATGCTGTTTGTTATAAAACTTAGTAAGATTTGTTCCTTATTGATTCATTTAGTTTTAGGACTTGAGCGAATTTACATATCAGTTCCTCTCCTTTGGACAAAACTCCTGCTTTTATAGCCCAGTTCTGTCTTTTGTTCTTAGATAATTGTCACCGTGTGAGCAGGGGCATGGTACATAATTGACTTTTTTTTAATGTGACCTTTGTTCTGAGTACTTGCTACATGGTCCATTTTTCCCTTAATTTAATTTCTTATTATTAACACACAATGGGAACCCTTGTGAAACTTGGAGGTTCTGGTAACTGTTGCAAGGTAACTTAACACTGTTTTCATTTTTTGTAACACAAGCCAGAAAATCTAAGGCTGCTTTTTAGTCACATAAGGATCACTTTAATTAGTGTACGTGAGGTTACATGTTTTCAGGATTGACAATGGGACAACACTGAGACTTCTGAAGTGAGTAATACTTGTAGTAATAGTCCATTAATTTTTTTTTCTTTTCTCTTGAACTGTTATATAAAAACCTAGCATTAAGAAACACTGTCAGGACTCCAGCTGTGGGTGTATATTCAAGGTAGTATCCATTTTAGAACTGAAATTCCTTTAGTGATTGAAATACTACTGTTGGAGTTCAAGCAAAAGATGACTACAAGCTTGCTGTCACCAGGAAAGTCGCTTATCTGGAAAATCTAGGTGAAGAACTACCCTTAAAAACAAACAGAAAACTGTTTTCTTATGAGCTAACAGAATCAAATTAACATATTCTGCTATAAATCAGACAGAGTTTCATTAACCTGTTTTGATAGTAGGAGTCACAAGTCCTCCTAACTAAGATGATCTCATTTCCTAATATGAAGTGGGAGATTTGGTTAGTTCAGATGGAAGAATTCACAACAGTCTGAATATAATTTGGGGGGTAGGGAGGGGGAGGAACAAAGAATTTGGGGATATCGGATGCAATCTTTTCTGTTCATAACTTTAGCGCTTGTGTTGTTCATATATAGTGACTTCAATTCTCTGCTTTTATCCAAAGACTGTGTGGGATTGACTTCCAGTTGTAGTAAAGTTCCTATAAGTAAGACATTGCCTCTATTTTGGAAGGGATGGTTTTTCTTCTACTTTTCATCTCTTAATTTTTTGTTTGCTTCATGGTTCTGTGTGCTTACTTTTATTTCATCACCCCTACAGATGGCCTCTTAGAGGAACAAGACAAAAAAACCTCCTGTGTTTAAGTGAGGGGAACCTACCTTGATTCCCTTTCCTACCTTAAGGACCTCTCAGAAACTGGTACTAATCAGAAATTCTTCTTGACAGTAACTTTTTTCCTCTTTATGCCTAAATTAACTAAAAAAGCATATGAGCTGGTTCCAAATAACACCTCTTGAGTATTAAAAAAACCAAACAAAACCCCCTTCAACTTTGGATGGTGTTGTTCAGAAGCTTCTGTATCAAGACAGCAAGCAACCCTGATGCTGCTGCTCTTCATGAGGACATACAGATAATATTCAGCTCAAAATCTGGGTGCTTGAAAGGTTCATTAAACTAGCTTGCTGTTCTGTTAAAGTGCATTCTTGTCAGTCCTGAACTGTGCGTATCCCTCTGAAGAACCCTTTTACAACTTCTGCTTTAGGTATAGTACAGCTCTTAAGGCCAGCAAAAGTTATTACTTTGTGGAAGCTGGCAAAACATGTAGACCTTGGTAACCCATGGAGCTGAAGGACTGATACCTGAATTCTGGGTGACCGCAGGACTTTTAGGGTGGTGGAAGGAATGCAGGAATAACGTTAAAGGCTTAGTGAATAAACAAGCTGATGGAAGGTCTCTTGTGATCTTCCATTATTTAGGATATTGTTAGAATCCATACTGTATCTTGTTGTGTTGTCTGTAACAGTATTTTATACTTGTGCTAGGTGCCAAAGCTGTAATACTGAGAGGCTACTTTTTCCAGTCTTCACTCCCTTTTGGATATAGGTGGAAGAAAATATTCTGGATACAACGGTGGCATAGACTAATCATTAATGGGAGTTGACAATGAGTAGAGTTCTGAATGTCAACTCTTTTGTTGTTGTATCAGCGCAGTACAAATTGGAATTCTTACACTTCGTGACTTCCACTTATACTAAGGGCAATTCAGGAAATAGTGTCCTTGGATCTGGGAAATTGGAAAAAGGCCTTAATAGCTTCTTCTGTTCATCCTTGAACAGAGAAGTGTGGTGGCTCCGAACTAGCTGCTGATTAAAAGGGAGATTGAGAGCACAGCGAGTAATTTTTCAGACCAACTTTGTCCTAGACTTAGAAAAATTTGAAATTGTGATCTTGGCTGCAGTACCCACTTGTTTGTGGCACTGTGGTAAGGAGAAACAAGCATGGTATCTTTACCTTGTTTACTGAGGGTTTCTTTACCTTGTTTACTGAGTTTTAGAATGCTTTAGAAGTAAAGGTGTCTGGACAGCTTGAAATGTCATCTGTGCTCCAAGTACTAATGCTTAAAAGTTTCAACTGCAAGATAATGTATTCTAGAATAATAAAACTCAGAAATGAATACTGTAATTCCTTGGAGAGAATGTAGCGTCTGCAGTCTACTGGTTGTATAGCCTTCAGAAATCCTAGGCAGATTCCTGATTTGCATGTCTTCCAAATAATTACGTCAGCAACAGATATGCCGTTAAATATTAGACCAGGTAACGAGTATAATCATAGTTGTTTCATGTATATGCATTAATAGTCTGGAGCAGAAGAGATTAGACTTTTGAACATCACCGATACCATTTTCTAAATCTTGTCTGATGGTTAAAGAAGTACTGCGTTTTCCTGGGCTGCCTGTGAAATTCTGCCGAGAGGAAGCTTGAATGTACAAGAAAAAGGCAGATAACCTTTCATCCTTCCCTTGGAGTGAAACATGTAACTATTGTTTAACGTGCTTAAAACAAATGTACTACTGAAAATCACTAGCTGGCTTCCAGAGACAGCTATGCTTTTAATGCATCTTTCTGGCTTCTTTGGTCAGCTGTTGGAAATGTGCTTCATCCAATGCAGTGTCTTCTTTTCTTGGGTTTCTACTCCATACACTGTATGGTGTCCTGTCCTGGTCTGCCAATACCGACAAGAACCTGTGAAATACAGTGCTGCGTACTCAGACTGTGTGTTAAGTGTTTTAAAAGTATGTTGGTCATCTACTGGGTATAAAATATACTGAGTACTGAGCAAGCTGGATTTGTAGCTGTGGAAAGTTTGAAGGGGAACTGGGAGGGGGGGAAATGGTTAGGTGTCAGAAAAACATTTTGGTTCATGTGGAATTACTTTTATAGAAGTGAAAAACCTTTTTTTTTCCTTGTAGTTGCTCAGAAGTGCTCCTGCTATTGGAGGAAGGATGTGCCTCAGTATCAGTATATCAGTATCTTGTCTATTGCATACATCTACTGACCGTATTTGTACTTAAAAGCAAAGAATGTTTTTGCTAAATTTTACCTTGTTAAACTTTTAGTGCATAATTAATTCTATCTTACATTCCTACAGGGATATATTCAGTGGAACTGGTAAATGACAGTTTGTATGAATGGCACGTTAAGCTTCTAAAGTAAGTTATTAAAGTTTTTTCATGTTCTGAAGAATCTGTTTACTATTGCTGCAGAGATTCTTACTTTTTATAAATACGAATCTCTAGCCAGAGTGTATAAAATAGTGTGGGGTGGCTACAATTCTGGTACACAGAAATATGCGCAGAGATTGAACTGGAGTAATTGAGCTGACAAAAACCAAACCCTCTTTGCACAGCTAACACAGTGCATATTACTGTAGCTTTCATTACTGTCCAATTATCTTTCCAAAACTACTCTAAAATATGAAACTTTAAATGATGAAATTTTTTGTCTAGAGTTTTTGTCTGAATTGTTTCAGTTTAGTTTTGTTTGGGTTTCATTTCAAGAAAATGTGACTTCTAGTTTCATTCAAGATGAAACAGATTCAAGAAGGAACAGAACTGTCTTAGTGTCATTAGTTCTTTATTTCTACACCCGAGCAGACACACAGGACTGAAACTTTTAGGTATAACATAATTAAGACTTACGTAGTTACATAACTTGTCTTCTATTATGTACTGCTTTTCACAGTGTGTGTACTAGATGATAACTCATCTTGTGTCCATGGTCCAGTAACTTTAATTCTAGAGGTATTATATTGAAATTATTCCTAGTAATGGGATCATCTTTCATCAACCTACAAGATAACCTGTAGGAAGCAAAAGCCTATCCAAGCTACGCTGGGTGGCTGCAAAGGATGGCAATGGATGAAAGAACTTCCATCAGTTCAGATATGTCATGGTGAATAAGTATAAGGACGTAACTGTTTCAGCACAATAGTTGACCTGCCTGTAGGAACTGTTGCCTTGTCCTACTGGCAAGACTTGTACAGCTATGTCACCGACTGCTGAAATACAGTTCTGTTTCCTTCTTAGTGTAAATCATAGGTATATGAATGTTTTGAAGCTGAAAATGGCAGGAATGACATATGTCAGAAAAGTCTGTGCCATGTTACAGGAGGCCTTGTCTCTCGAGCACTTCTATAGCGAAGTCCTCAAAACACTGTGCAGTGATTTGAAACCTCTTTTCAAGTGCTGTGAACAGGTCTGATTTTTTTGCCTTCAAGAAAGAGAAAATGGAGTGCATGCAGCAAATGGCTTCCAGAATGACTAAGAGAAGATAAGAAGTGTTGTGTTTGTTTATCCCAGCAAAAAGTGCCTGAGAACGAATTAACTGTGTGCAGACTAGTTAAGGGGGTAAATGTCAGAGAGAACAGAGCCCATTGGCCTAAGGAACAGTATTTGTTACTCGAACAAGTAATCCTGAACTGGCCTAGTACAAGCTAGGCTGGAAATTAAAGGTTTCTAAGCATTAGGAGCTTTTCTTCTGAAAGAGCTTCCCATTGGTAGGATGGGGGCAAACTGCCCACATAATTCTGAAATGGGATCTAATAAATTTGTGGTTTCACCTGTAGCAGAGACTTAGGTTTAGTAGTCTATATCAGTCCCTTTAACCATCTGCTTTCGGCTTGCCACAGGCATTTTTTTGACTAGTCTCTTTTAAAAGCTGCTGGGCTGTCAGAGCCTGGGTGGGATTAACCCAGTAGTGTTTGAATTTATGTCTCGGCTGGTTGCCAGCAGCATTTTGCAACAAACAATTGTTGAAATTCTGCTGAGCAGAAGCTGCTGGCTTTAGTGCTTCTGCTGATGCAGATTACTTTTAACAGCTGATACAGAACTGTGATCGCATATTCCATAAAGGATTCACTAACTGTGTACTGAAAACTAGATCGCTACAGTCTTCCTATTAAAATAGATTTATTTTTTTTTTATCCTCACCCCCCTGCCCCCTATTCAGTGAACTGAAGAGAATTGAAATTGCTGTTTTCAAATGAACAGGTTATTTTGTGCTAACTATGTTCAAATAACACTTGATAGTGTCAGGAATCTAGTGTGTTGCAGCAAGCTTTCATGCTCATCCCATGGCAGTGTTTACTTTGTAAAGGGAGCAAGAGTTTTCTACAGTTCGCTTCAAATTACAGTTTGGAAACTTACAGATACATAAAGGAGCCCGTGAAGAGTAATTACTATTTACAGGTAGTTAAAATATTACTTCATCCAGGATCTCCCCCCTGCTTCTTTTACAGGGTTGATCCTGATAGCCCACTGCATAGTGATCTTCAGGTCTTAAAAGAAAAAGAAGGTGTAGAATACATTTTACTCAACTTCTCTTTTAAGGTATGTGTCTATGGGAAGACATGTTGGGGTTGAATTTGTAGCTTACCATAGAAAGTGACTGAATAGATCCTTAGCTGTTACTTGGGTAAAGATGGAGCTGTAGCATTAAAGAAAAAGAAAAATTGTAACTTTAAGTTCGGCACTAAAGCTTCCCAAAAATTGGTTTTTACTCAGTACTGTGGAAAAGTGATTTTTACAGAACTGAAAAATTTTACTGCTTTAAATCTGATTTGCCAAATAAAGCTATTGAAATACTTCCTGGTTAGGAAAGCACTGTCACGGTATATTTCTTAACCTGTTTTTTGTTATGCTTTTCAGGATAACTTCCCTTTTGATCCTCCCTTTGTGCGAGTGGTATCTCCTGTGCTCACAGGAGGGTAGGTTTGAGTCACCTTACAGATATTTTACTTTGTGGTACCGATGTTACAACTTGAGACAGGTTGTTTGGGTTTGAGGGAACATTTTGACACTGCCATGTGGACTTCAAGAAATTTCCCCTAAATATGTGCATGAGCTGCTGTAGACCTTGAGTTTGATGAAGAGGTTAAAGTGTGATATGGAAGGCTTCCTTCTCAAGCTGTATGAACTAATAGTAGGCAAACAGCCAGGCACAATTCCTCTTTGACTTGTGAAGTTTGTATCTAGCTTTGAAAGACTCTGTGCCTGCCATCATGTTTAAGAACTGACCTCTTTGTGGATGGTTAACATTGCCGTTACTTCTCCTGGTGTTCAGAATAGTAGGGTGTTTTGAGTTGGTGCTTTGAACAGGTCTTGCTTCCTATGTTGCCTTAAATTTGCCGTACAGCCTTAACTGACTCTCTTTTGCTGGTAACACTGTCATAAAGTTTTTGTCTGAAAACTCTTCAAATGCTAATCCAAAAATACTAAATTTAATTGACACCATGCTGCCAAAGTCATCTAAAATGTGTTTGAAGTGATGTCTCTGGCACAGAAACTTGTATACATCCATGGGCAGAAGATCAAATCCACCTTCCAAGGCCTTGATGCATCTTCTGCTGGCAGGAAATTATACTTGTACGTTTGAAAACGCAGTCTGTGATAGCTGGTGCTGATTCTGATTTTATTTGAATTGCTGTGTGTCTTTTTTCATAGAATCATAGAATGGTTTGGGTTGGAAGGGACCTTGAAGATCATCAAGTTCCAACCCCCCTGCCCTGGGCAGGGACACCTCCCACTAGACCAGGTTGCTCAAAGCCCCATCCAACCTGGCCCTGAACATCTCCAGGGATGGGGCTTCCGCAACTTCTCAATTCTTTCATTGAAGAAATAGTTAGTGCAGTTAAGTAGCGTTCAAGAGGGTTGCTGCTACCATAGAAGTAAACAAGCAGTGCCAGACACCAGAAAACTCAGTTGGATTCTGGTTTTGTTGTACTTGGACTTTGTGGAATGAAAGAAAGAACGGCCCAGAAGGTCTGGATTGCAGTGGTCATTTCCCTTTGAATGTTGTACAGATCTACATTGTTTGAACACCTTGCTCATAGAGGAGACTACTTTTTTTTTTTTTTTTTTTTT